CCTCCCCACCACCCTCCCCAAGTCAGTGTACAATCTGATATAGGCTATACATTTACATTCCTATTAAACATATTTTCACATTAGTGGGTGTTGTAAGTAAAAATTAAAACCAATAGGAGGAACCATCAGAAAGAGGAAACAAAACTCAACAGAAGAGAAAAAAATAGCAATTCAACTTCCATAGTTCTTTCTTTGGATGTGGATAGCATTTTCCATCATGAGGCCTCTGGAGATGTCTTAGATCCTTGCATTGCTGGGAAGGGTTAAGTTTATCAATATTAGTCATCACACAATGTGGCTGTGGTTCTGTTCATTTCACTCAGCATCAGACCATACAAGTCTTTTCAGGTTTTTCTGAAGTCAGCCTGTTCATCATTTCTTATAGCACAATAGTATTCCATTACATTCATATACCACAATTTGCTCAGCCATTCCCCAATTGATGGACATCCTCTCAATTTCCAATTCTTTGCCACCACAAAAAGAGCTGCCATGAATTTTTTTGTACATGTGGGTCCTTTTCCCATTTGTATGATCTCTGTGGGAGATCATAGCCCTAGAAGCACTATTGCTGGGTCAAAGGGTATGCACATTTTTATAGCCCTTTGGGCATAGTTCTAAATTGTTCTCCAAAATGGTTGAATCATTTCACAAATTCACCAACAATGCATTAGTGTTCCAATTTTCCCACATCTTCTCCAACATTTATCATTTTCCTGTTTTGTCATATTGGCCAATCTGATAGGTGTGATATGGTACCTCAGAGTTGTTTTGATTTGCACTTCTCTAATAAATAGTGATTTAGTGGATTTTTTCATATTGACTATAGATGGCTCTAATTTCTTCATCTGAGAACTATCTGTTCATACACTTTGACCATTTATCAATTAGGGAATGGCTTGTGTTCCTATAAATTTGTCTTAATTCTCTATATATTTTAGAAATGAGGCCCTTATCAGAGAGATGACCTGTAAAAATTCTTTCCTAATTTTCTATCTTTCTTCTAATCTTAGTTGCATTGGCTTTGTTTGTGCAAAAACTTTTCAATTGAATGTAATCAAAATTATCCATTTTGCTTTTTGTAATGTTGTCTATCTCTTGTTCGGTCATGAATTCTTCTGTTCTCCATCGATCTGATAGGTAAACTATTCCTTGCTCTCCCAGTTTGCTCATAGTATCAATTTTTATATCTAAATCATGAACCCATTTTGACTTTATTTTGATATGTGGTGTGAGATTTTGGTCTATACCTAGTTTCTGCCATACTCTGCTCCAGTTTTCTCAGTAGTTTTTTTTCAAAGAGTGGGTTCTTGTCCCAGAAGCTGGGGTCTTTGGGTTTATCAAATAATAGATAACTATAGTCATTGACTCCTGTGTCTTGCATATTTAACCTATTCCACTGATCCACCACTCTATTTCTTAGCCAGTACCAAGTAGTTTTGATGATTGCTGCTTTATAATACAATTTAAGATCTGGAATTGCTAGACCACCTTCCCCTGCATTTCCTTTCATTAGTTCCCTTGATATTCTCGACCCTTTGTTCTTCCAAATGAATCTTGTTTTCATTTTTTCTCACTGTATAAAATGATTTTTTGGTAGTTTGATTGGTATGGCACTGAATAAGCAAATTAGCTTAGGTAGAACTGTCATTTTTATTATATTAGCTCGGCCTACCCATGAGCAACTGATGTTTTTCCAATTATTTAGATCTGACTTTATTTATGTGAAAAGTGTTTGTAATTGTGTTCATAGAGTTCCTGGGTTATAGTTATCATTTCATAAAATGAATTCATGGACCTCAGGTTAAGTATTCTTGTAATATACCTACAATAAGTCCTACTCAGCCAGAAAAAAAGGAAGAAAATAGATCTCTGCACATTAAATAAGGATTAGTGATTAAAACACAAGCAGTTAATTCTAATGGTGTTGAAATATCTCTCTCTCTCCATCTCTCTCTCTCTCTCTCTCTCTCTCTCTCTCTCTCTCTCTCTCTCTCTCTCCTCTCTCTCTCTCTCTCTCTCTCTCTCTCTCTCTCTCTCTCTCTCTCTCTCTCTCTCTCTCTCTCTCTCTCTCTCTCTCCCCACTCTCCCCTTTTCCCTTTCCTCTCTGTCCTCTTCTGTCACCTCTCTTCCCTTTCCCTCTTTCCAAAACGGGCAGAGTACTGAGATGGGACTTGAATAGGGAACTATTCTTTCTTATTAAAGATGCCTACCAGTAATGCCTGGAACACAGTAGATATTTAATAAGTGCCACTGATTGACTTGTGGTTGGATGCCTCAAATCCAAGGAACAAAGTTAAAATGCGCTCAAATATAATTGCAAGTTCTTAAGTATTTTAAAAGTTGTTGAGATCAATGATGCTCCCCAAGGTGAAGTAGGCCTTTGAACATATATAAATGTCTTTCATGAATTTCTGAGGAAAATGCATTAGGATCACTGAATCCCTGCCACATTGGGGGTTGGGGGAAAACATTGAATTAGACCAAGTGACATAATGACTCCACAGGCACATAGCTGTGTAGAGTTAGAGGAGGTTTTGAATAAATATAAGAGGGGGGAGGGAGGGAGGAGGGAGAGAAGGAGGGAGGGAGGGAGAGAGAGAGAGAGAGAGAGAGAGAGAGAGAGAGAGAGAGAGAGAGAGAGAGAGAGAATAATTAGATAAAAGAATTCATCCTAGATGTTCCAAAAGACAGGATTGGGGAGACCCAACCTCTAGACCAAATAAAGGACTCTTAGCCTGAGGTCCACAGACCCTTAAGAATCTATGAAAAGATTTCAGGGGTTCTAGGAACATGGATGAGGAGAAGATTACATTAACTCTCAGAGGGATACAGTGGGGGCAGGGAACCAGGGAAATAAAAACATCCTCAGGTAGAGGATGGGATTTGAACTGAGTCTTGAAAGAGGCCAGGAAATCAAGGAAGTAGAAGTGAGGAGGGAGAACATTCCAGGCACATGGGACAACCAATACAAAGGCAAGGAGTCTGGAGGTGCAGTGTTGTGTGAGGAACAGCAAGAAGTCGGCTATAAGAAACTAGAAAGGTAGAAAGGGGCCAAGCTGTGAAGAGTTCTCAAGTGCGTCACGTCCAAGATGATGCTCATTATCTTTTCTCCCAAACCTACACTTCTTCCCTATTAATGTTGAGATTCTTCTAGTCGCCCAAGGTCAGAATCTCAATATCATCCCAGACTCATCCGTCTCACTCACCCCACAGATGCAATAAGTTGTGAAATCTTGTTACTTCTAACTTTCCAACAGATTTGAACTCAGGTCTTCCTGACACCAGGCCTGACACTCTTTAACTGCACCACCTTGTTGCCCCAATTACCCTTGCATCTTCTCAAAATTCAGTGTAACAAACATGTATTGTTGCCATAACTTTCTTACTCTCCATGGAAATGGTCATATCTGGCCAGTGGACCCAGATGGCTCTGGAGGGGAAAGTGAGACTGATGGCTTTGCACAGCCCTCCCTCCCTCACATCCAATTCAATTGCAAGTCATTTCATTATCTTCCTGATGTCCTCTTTGAGAACAAATGACAATACACATCTCTAAACAGTGACAAGCAATCTAACATCTACTCCCTTTTTTCCCTTTGTACATCTATCTGTGACACACTCCAGCCTATAAAGAAGGAGAGTAGCTTTTCCAGGGTTTATTGATAAAAGTGAATATAATAATTCAGAAATAATATGGCAAGGTAAGCTAATTAGAATTAAGTATACCAGAAAACAATCTGATTTCAGGCTATTCAGCTTTCTAAATCACCTTAAAATCAAATTCCTCAGTCCTGGTTTGGCCCACTACCTTTCCTAGGTTAGAAGGGCCATGCTGCTGAATCTTTGGAGGTTTCCCTTGTGACTTCTAAACACAGTGGCAGTGGCACCTTCTTCCCCAGAATACTCCACTCTTCTGATGAATTGCCTCACCTCAGAATTTAAGATCAAAGCACTAGCAGCTGAGGGACCAAGAAAGAGAGTATTCCTGGATATGCAGAATGACCATAACACCATAGACCACATTGAGCCTCCACCATATTGCAAATATGTAGGAACTCTATATACTCTTCCTGTTGCAGTATCATTAAGCAAATTTAATGAGATATAAATATAAAATAAATAAATGAATATACAGGTAAAGTAATGTTGTGAATTTCTTAAATTACCATGAAAATTTAAGATTTAAATTATAACAGTGAAGTGTTAGGATCTTCTTAGAGATGATTAAAAAAACTCAAATTAGTAAGCAATGTGGTCGTGACAATCAAAAATTCCATTTTTTCCTTGACTCAAAGCAGAGAGTATTTTAGCAGTAAGACAGAGGCAGACCCAGTCCTAAATCTGGACAAATTTCTTTCTCCCCCTTTCTCTCCATGGGTTTTTATAAATTAAGGCCTCAGGTTTCCAACCTACACTAATTTCCAAGGTGCCTTGGGTCATGTTATCCATTTTTTGATGGTGCCAAATGTCTACTCAGTGGTTACTCTCTATTAATCTCCATTTGGAACTCTGTAAAAAAGATACATGAAGCCTTTCCTACTTCTACTATATTTTAAATAGACAAAAAGGTTTTAAACACAAGCAAGCAGAAAGTAAAGGACTCAATTTACGCTAGTAAAAATAGCAAACTAAATTTTATGTTAATTTTTTGTAGCAAAATCTCCCTCTGTTTCCCCTCCACAATCCTTCCTCCCTCCCCCCCAACCCCGATTAAATGATGTCCAAATGTTTTTTCTTCCTAAGGAAGCTAGGTTTCTTTTCATATCATTTTAATTTATTTATAAATCAAATATGCTTAAAGTAGGTATGTTTTATTGAGTTCTCAAGAGTCTCCTGGATGACAAACCCCAAGCTAAAACTCCTTAAGTGATTATATAATTCCAGAGTTGCAGGCCACTGGGAATTTACTATATAACCCTGACAAGGATAAAAGGAGGATTGAATTATTAATGTTTTCCTTTTTTTAAAAAAAATATACACAAGTAAAAGGCACTTACTCTGAAAGCTGTTCACTGAAAAGACACGGGGATGATAGAATCCTGCTTTGCAATTGCACTTATAGGCTCCGAGCACAAATCCAAGGCCTTTAATTGGTATGCACTGTGGGAAAGAGAAAGAAAGCAATGCAGATGATCATAGTGTTTTTATGGCATAAGAATACATCTATTTCTACTCCAGCAAACATAAACAATGCAGAATTTTTGGAAGATGGAGAATTTATTTATTATTTTATTTCTTATTTGACTTTGTTTTACATTTTTCCAATGATCTTTACCTGGAACCACTGTATTATTTCCATTCTGGAAATTTTGCTTTCGTGCAGTTGACATGAGGAAATGACTTCTTTCTTAGTTTGAGATTTCACCAATTCCTTCTGTAATCAAGAGAGTTTTCCTCTCTCCCACCTAGCTACTGCATGTCCCTAAGTGCATGGCACCTCTGTTTCTATTTATATCCAGAAGCAGCATGAAGTAGGTTACAAACTTGTTAGTTTTAAAAGGTTAGAAGAGGCATTAGTGGTCCCCTAAACAACCTTTGTTAGTAGCAGACATCACTAGAGCTGTAGCAAGAGCTAAGTCCTTTAAGGAGGCTACCTTAAGAAATGACCACCTTGATCCAGCTCAACAGTGGATTAGCCAGTTAATTGAGATACTATGTACTGTAAAAAGGTGGACCAGCACAGTAACATTCCATCACAATCATATGTCACCACTTGTTCAGCCATTCCCCAGTTGACAGGCATCCTTATTGTTTTAAGAACAACTCCAAGCAAATGAGTTATTTTGTCTATTATAAACGCCCAAATTAACTATAAAAGACATAAGAAGAAAAGATACTATCTGCATCCAGAGAAAGAACTGAAAAATAGAAGTATGCATAGAATAATTTTATATATATATATATATACATATATATATATATATAGATATAGATATATAGATATGTACATACACATATGTCTGTGTGTGCCTGTTTGTGTTTAATGGTAGCCATGTCTAGGGCAGAAGGGGAGAAAAAAGGGAAATTTATATGATAATTTTGTTGCATATTTGAAAGGAATAGCAAGTTGTGCATAGTAGATTTGCAGTTTCATGTGCAGTCATATTTTTTTTACTATACTATGCTATGGTTGTTTTATTTCATAAATTAATATGCTTGTTTTATTCCATGAATTAATAATAAAATAAAATATAAAGCTAGACCAGCCAAGCAAGGGAACAACTTGTAAATTGACTGTTGAAACTGTACTAGAAGTACACTTGGTGGGAGAAAAAAGAGGAGAAAAAAAGGATTCCTAGGAACAGGATTTGTTAGCAACTCCTTGGTACCACAAGTTCTTCCCAGATGTCTCTGACTACATTTGGCCTTTAAGTATGAGCCCATCATTCTCAAGAATCAAATTGTGAATAGGGAAGAGTATGTACTTGGTTTGAGAAATATATTTTTTACTTCTGTCCTTGTCATACCTCCTTAGTAAATATGCTTTCGTAAAAGCTAATTGATATCAACTGGTTAATCATATTGGGAAAAGTGCATTGGATGGGGGCTCATGGGTGATTAGAAATCCAGGTTCCTCAGAGTTATCCAATGATAGAATTCTAAGGGGAAAAGTAGTCAAACTGCTCTCTGGGAATCCAGTCCATCAGAAAAAGTGGGAGGTGGACCAACAGGCAAAAGTATGCATTACCCTTCATATGGAGTGAAGGCAGATTCTTGAAGTTAATACTACTTATTTGTTTGTTTATTTCTAAGAATTATTTGTGTAGAGGCAGGCAAAGCCATAGCTAGTCAGTTGATTACATGATAAGGATTAAGAAATCAAAGTTATAGCATCACCTGTGGCCATCTCACCCTGGAACATCTCTCTGCCATACCAGTCTCCCACTATTGGTGAGGTATTCCTGAGCTTCCATTTTAGGGAGGGGTCTAGAACAGCCAACTCCCATTTGCCCTCTGAGCTCCGCTTCTGACTTTCCAAACTTCAGTACCATGTCCCTGCACAGGTATCTTCCTCCACCTAATCTGACTTTTTAATTCTTGTTTTGTGTATTGTCTCCCTTTCCCCTTAGAATATAAGCTCCCTGAGAGCAAGAACTGTATCTCTTTTTGCTTCTATGTTTATCCTCAGTGCTTAATATACCGTCTAGAACACAGTGAGTATTTAGCAAATATCTGTTTCCCTGTTGTCTTGCTGCCCTCCTTTGATATAACCAATCCAAACTGAAGGGACTACAAATTGAGAGGCACCATGGCACAGGGAAAGAGCAATGGATTTGGATTCAGAGGACATCGGTTTGAACCCTGTCTTTAGTTATGTGATCTTGGGCAAGTCCTTTTATTCCTCTTGGCCTCAGTTTCCTCATTTGTAAGATAAGGGTGTTGTACTAGTTTTACCTATGAGTTACTTTATAGCTCTACATCTAAGACCCTAAGATTCCATGGCTGAGGTTATAAAAAAGAGAATAAGAAAATCAACAAATAAAAGGTGCTAAGAACCTAATGATAGCTTTGAGGTTTACAAAATGCCTTCCTCATAGAATTCTTGTTAGGGAAGCAGTCTTAATTAGTACACAAAAGCAAAAAGAATAGCTGTACCACCCAAGCATAAGTGATCCACATTAAGACATAAATCCTTCAGGAAAGAGAGAATTCATTGCTTACAAAACTTGAGAAAGCTAGTGTTCTGAAAAGAATATTGGCTTTAGAAAGAGAAGACCTGGACCTGCTACTCTGTAATCCTAGGGTAAATTATGGCACCTCTCAGTTTCCTAGTCTGAAAAATTCTTTTCAGCTCTAAATACTATAATGAAATGGAAAATCACATCTGTAATGAGCTAGTAGCAGAAATGGCAAGCTTCAAAGAACTGAACGTACCACAACTAGATCCTGATATATCAAAGACCTAATCAATTCGTATCTACAATGTGTAAGAATAAAAATGAACAAAGAGTGTTATAACAACATGGTCAATCTATGCTCCCCACTCAACCACACCCCTAGCCCCAGTGACCACACGAGGTTAATATCCTTCTTAAAATATTGCTAATCTAAGAAAATTGAATAATCTAAATGTGGTCTAAGCAGTACACATTAGAGTGAGATATCAGCCCTTGTTCTAGAGATTTTCAAATTTTAATTGTGCTGTTGTTGTTTAAATGTCTCTATATAATGACTATCCGGGCCACTCAATTTCATTTCCTGTGCCATAGGTTGCTAACCCCTGGCATACATAATATACAACAGCATAGTCTAAGAACTATCAATCAGCCAGATTCATGTGGAGATGCTAATGAACAACAAAATGACTAGGAGGGAGATGTTGCTAGGAGAGGAAAAAGTAAAGTCTGGATTCTCTACAAATTGAGTAATCTGGCAAAATAAAAATATCTAGAACTTCCCAGTAAAAATCTACCTGTTCCTCCATGCTTTTTAAGTAATCAATATTTGGCTATCAGTGAACTCCAACTCATTTCTACTACTCCCAAATAAATGGACTCCAATGATAAGCAGAGGGACAAATAACCATCCTCAAAGCCATACTATATTGGAATGAGCCATGGTCTGTGCTGCTGCACTAGGCTAATTAACTATGCCTTGATGCTTTTGCATAAGGAGAGCAATAATATAGAGATATGTCATGAAAACTACAAGTTGTGAACAGCTGGGTCATTATTAGCACAGTAGTAGAAGCCAGGCAACTGAAGTTAAAGTTCAAGGAGAAGAAGGAATAGGTAGACTTGCAGATATTGGGAAGTTCTAGATGTTTCCACTTTTGGTGTTGATCTTTTGGATGTAATACAAGTCCATGTGGATTTTGAGCTGTCAGAGAAAGAAACGTGGTTGAGAAATAAAACATGGACTTGGGTAGAGAAGGAAAGAAGAAAAGAAGGAAGGAAGGAAGAAGGAAGAAAAGGAGGGATTTATAAAGCACGTACTATGTGCCAGGTACCACAAATATTAGCACATTTGATTCTTCATCAACCCTGGGAAGTAGCTGCTATTATTATCCCCATTATACAGTTGAGAAAACTGGGGCAGACAAAGTTAAGTGACTTGCCCAAGGTCATATAGATAGTAAGATTTGAACTGAGGTCTTCCTGGGTCCATAGAATTCTATCTACTTCACCACCTACCACACCTCAATGTGTGGTTGTGGTTGTGGTTTGTCCTTTAATCTCGAAGAGGATCATGACATCAGAGAAATGATGACATGACTTGCAAGTGAATTGGATTTAAGTGAGGGAGGGCTGTGTAAAGTCACCAGCCTCACTTTTTCCTCCAGAGCCATCTGGGTCCAGTGGACAGATATTAGTCAGGATGACTGGAGATGGCCCAACATACCTCAGTGAGGGTCCAGGTAGAAGTCCTTAGTTACTTTAGCATATAACCTTTGGAGAAGGCTTCAGGATTCCATACTCTATGTTCTTACAACCTCTGATTAATAGTCTGTCTCCCTGGCAAAGTAGCCCTGGGCTTTGGACATAAAGACAAAGAACTGAAATGGAGGAATGTGACAGCTCACATTTATGTAGCATTTTATAGTTTATAATGCAGATAACATACATTATTCATATGAGCCTCACAACAACCCTGTAAGGGAGGCAAGGCAGGTACCATCCACTTTTCACAGACAAGGACAAGAGTCCCAGAGAAGTTAAGTGACTCACTTAAAATCACCTAGCAAGTAAGAAGGAGGAGCAGGACTCAATTCCACATCTCCTGACTTGAAATCCAAGGCTATCTGGGCTCTTTCCATCATTTCCCACACAACTCACTAGGTCTCTCTATAAGATGAACAAAAGGCTATATCAGCCCCTCCCCATTTCAGAGACTAGAGACGTGATAGACAATTGATAAGATGGCACTTGATATAGGCTAGTTCCTCTAGGAAGATTTATCAAGGGACTATTTTTGAATCTGTTTCAAGCCATTCTAGAGAATAAATACCATAGTTTCCAAAATCAAGCAAAAGTTCTAATCGGAACAAAACTGTATATCCAGTTTATGTAATATCTTCTTAAGTTCCCCTTCTGACCAAAAGGACACATTTATAAAGCCAAAAAGAGATGAGCCACTAATCTAAAGACCCAGACGCATGG